GCACTGAGTCCGCTTTTCGCGCGCGTTTCGCCCGCGGGCGTCGTTTCGCGCGCGCGCGCCACACCACCGACGCCGTCCCATCCGAGCCCCTGGCCGACGCCGTCCCTCGCGGACGTCCCCGGACTGGGGCGGACGCGTCGTGACCGCCCCCGGGACCACCCGGTATCGTTAGCAATTGTTTCGTACTTCTGGGGGGGGTCGACCGTGGTCAGAGCCTACCCAGCAGCCTGCATTCGCTGAATAAACCTATGCATGATATGGCGCATATCCTAGGAATCCTAAGCGGGTTGTGGACTACAACTCGCCTGCAGTGGCAGTTAAGATGCTCGAGCGATATCGTTTTCTGGTTTGGCGGTTGGTTTGTCGTCGGGTTCCGCCCGACCGCTGTGGTGCGTGACCCTCGTTCGCCCCTCTTGTTCCCTCCCGACACCCTGTCCGTTCCCATAGGTCATGCGGACCATCCCGCCGCCCCGTGGGCAAGCCCAAATGCAAGCGCAGTCAGCCGGACGGCCTCGTCGCGAGGCACATGAAGTACTTGGGGACCAGATCCAGCAACGAGGCTGAGAGGGCAAGTGTCAGCAACAGTAGTGATCTCATAAACACCAACAGCATGCTCAACTTGCTCGCCTTGCAGAACAGCATCCGTGTACTCGTCCGCAGCATGGTCGTCGAGGTCAGGTTCGCTCGGAGGTAGAGCTGGAAGAGTGCAGTCACCAGAAGGAAGGAAGTGTGTGCCCTTGGCCAGGAGCAACTGGACCCATTCTCTGGTAGGAGACAGTGATCCGCGCCACCCAGGTCTGCACGTTGTATTTGATAACGATTCGCGTCCTTGCAAATTTGGGATGCACAACATTGAGATCATCATAATGAACTGGAAGCGGCCTGCATAGTTTAGGCCTGGCACCCCTCCTGTGCATGCTGAAATTAGCCTGCCCAAGCCACGCACCAAGACGCAAGAGCTCTTCTTCTGTCTTGGTAAACGATGAGCTGCTACCGAGGACGGTATGAATCAAGTTTTGGGGCCCTGTAGCGGGAATTGTCCCTTCAAGGTATACTTCTCTTACTTAGCTCGAGGTTCATAGTGCAGTGGATATATACCAGCTCAGTAGCGGCTTGCT